GAACCATTTAGCACTGAATGCTTAACGGTTTAGCATTCAGCGTGTTTGATTCTCACCTCAGAATGAATACTTAGCTGAATGATTCAGCAAAATACTGCTGAATGATTCAGCATTAAAGTACATTATGAATGATTCAGAACCATGATCAAATATCATGTCACATTCAGAGCTAATTCATACAGAGCCTTTGAATCATTCAATGCTTAATCATTATGATTTAATCAAACAACCCCTAAGCTTTGGATTCGTTTTGAACACGATTTTGTATCTTCTTATTTTTGCACAAAATAAGCTTTGGAACCATTTTCAACATGATTTTTAATCCACTTACAATATTGCGTATGTCTTGATATTGGTCTCAACTGAAAGATAAATTCCAATACTACGCCTCTAATCTTATAAATTATGAAAATTTGAGATTAAATACCCGAACATGCCCCCCGAACATGCCTATAAGGACTTGTGATTTGGGCTGGAAAACCAAATACCTCGCTTTTTGGAAAACAGGAGGTGTGTTGAATACTATTCGCGATAAATTTCTCGGGACGGTTCAATATATCGGGAGCCTCGTGTTTTGCGTAACTCGAGGTATTTAAAACTCATATTAAATAGCATTCTCTGAAAAGTGCGTCCACGTTGGACGTACTCGCATCGTGTACAAAGCGAGGCTTGTCCTCACATTTCGTAGGATCCTATGTGTGCAGTTTGGAAGTATTTTTCTAACAAATATGCTAAGGGGAGTACTCTTAAAAAAATGAATTTATGGGGTTATTTTATATATTAATGCCTAACTTACTAGTATACTTATTCCAATTGAATTGGTTTATCAAAACAAATTATAGTATTATTTATTTTAAAAATAAAATCAAAATCGGCTTAAATCTCAAAGATAACTGAATTAAATTCCATCGGTTGGATTAGGAACGGATCTATTGTAATCTAACTATAAAAATTTGAATTTAATTGTTGTTAAGTTTCTTATAATTTTGAAGTTAATTAAGCCTTATTTTTTTATTTTTTAATTAAGTTATTTCTTAAATTCTCTGTTTTCTATACACTATCTTTCGAAGTTCATCTTAGATCATAGTTCTGTGGCTAAATTCCTCTTAGATAGTGATTAATATCACCACTCAATTAGTCAAATAAAAAAAATTGATATATATATAATTAGTTTAACTAGGTTAAACAAAAATGGACGGAAAAGGGAGAGGAAACGTCAAACATCAGATAGATTTTTACAGTATGCTTCATCAACACTACCTTGGATTTTCAGTGTTCCTAGATAATGTAAGCAAGAGAATCCGTAAGAGATCGCTACAAGAACTGTTCCAGACATACGGGGAGGTGAGAGATGTATTCATTGCATACAACAATCAGAAATGTTAGGGAAGAGCTCGACTTTTGCTTTCATCAGATTTAGTAGCATGGCTAAAGCACAACTGTCAGTATCTGGGGGTAATGGAGACTCATCGATGGCCATAATGTTAGAGCTTTTCTTGCAAGGGATCGAAACAAGACCAGTGTCTTAGAAAACAGGCGTGAGGTAAGTCCAAGAGTTTTTAGACCTGCATTGAGGGATAGAAGATCCTTTAGGGAGGCGGTATTGGCAAATACGAGTTCAGGAAACAAGAAAGGTCTGTCTGACTCTCTCACTAATCCGGCGGCAATCTTAGTGTCCGAGGGAAAGGAAAAGACGACCAGCATGGTTATTGTCAACGGAAGTGCACCTGAAGCAACTAAGCTAATAAAGAACAACGTTATCAATGTCCCGTCCACCAATGTAGATTGGATGAAGCGTTGTCTGGTGGGTCAGATTAAAACTATTCACAATAGAGAAATTGTCCAAGAAGCATCGGCGTCTGAAGGCATGGAAGCGAAGGTTTGCCAGTGGTGCGGACTACTAATGGTCATCCTTTGTCCAACAGTGAATGCTCGTGACCAGCTATAGAAAAAGAGAGAAGACATGTTAAATCTTTGGTTCAATGAGCTTGAGTTCTTAAGAGGTTATGACTATAAAAGGAGAGTCAAAACTTGGGTTATCCTTGAGGACGTTCCCCTCATTATCTGGGATAAGGTCTTCTTTGAAGAAATCGCAAGCCGGTGGGGCAATCTACTTAGATTGAGGAAGAAACTTTGACCTTAAAGCGTTTCGATCGTGCTAAGCTCCTGTCAGAAGTGCAAAAGGTATCGCAGATGCCCGACAATATTTCGCTGATGATTAATGGAGGCGCACACAGAATCAGAATATCCACAGAGGTATTCAATGGAGAAAATCAGCTCATGAATGGAGCCCCCGGAATCGGAAATCACGCAGGATAAGGGTTGGACGGTTCATTTCGAGGACCATGCAATAACGGTTTGGAAGACGGTAAGAATCCCAAGGTAATTTATAACGTGGGGGTGTGCCCAAGACGAAAGCAGGAACTTATTGAGGTCAGATGGAAAGCCTTTAGATCTTAATAGAAACGATCCACGTGGGAACTCTAACGAAGCTAGTAAAACTGGTCTTCATGAAGTGCCGGTTGAAACTAGGGAAGAAACATTTTCACCTGACGTCATGATAGGCCGGGATAAAGTTATCGGGCCTGAAAAGAAAAGGTCCAAGAAATAACCATTTCAAATTCTTCTAAAATCCTAGATATCCTTATAAAAGAGGCCTGTTTGGAGTAAGGTTTCAAATCATATTCCGAAAACGTAATTTCGTCCGTGATATTGTGGTTTCGTAGCTGTCTGAGCTACTGTTACACTCGTAATAGTGCCCATAGAGCCTACGACGGTCGCAATAGTGCCTGCGACGGCCATCCCAGATTAAGAGATCTATAGCCTATCTGGTTATATATTTAAGGAGGGACTACAGTTAAACTTGGGCGTGCGATGCATAAGAAATAGTCTCTGTTGCAAGAAAGGAAGTGGGCCACGTGAATAATAGTGGAAGCAAAACAAATCAAACCAAAAAGAGGAAGAAGACTATTGCCCAAGCTAGAAGATCGCAATATAAAGGGAAGAAAACTGCTATCGTGAAAAATGCTCCCCCTGATAAATCGCGCCAGATTTTTCCTGATGGATGCTCAGGAGGAAGAGTACTTTCAGAAGCAGAAGCCGTTCTTGAAGTGACCAAGATCCTGGGAGTTGAGTTCGATGCATCAGATGATGTAGTATTAAACAGAATTGAGGAACTAGAGAAGTGGAAGGAAATTGAAAAAAGGTTCGTAAGCAGCTGTAATTATATCAGTGAGTCTTATCACTATTTGAGAATGAATTTGTGCATGCTGTCATGGAATGTAAGGGGATTTGGAAAAAAGGAGAGTTTAAAGCAGTCAGAAGTGATCCATTCTAGCAAAGCAAGAGTTACTTTTTTTTTGCAGGAAACAAAACTATCGATACAAAAACCAGAGATTATTGAAGAAGTTATAGGGCACAAGTGATGGGAATCTGGCTCACTCCCCTTCGATTGGAGCATCAGGAGGACTATAACTGTGCGGGATCCTAGTTTTTTTAAGATAGAGTAGATAAATACTGGCAATAGATTAATCTTGCTCACTGGAACCATTTGTGGGATTAATTTAAAATGTGGCCTTCTAAACATCTACGCTCCAAACAACACGGGCGAAAGGAAAACATTTTGGGAGACTTCGACAGGTGAGATTCAAGCGCTTAACATGCCACTGATCATTGGTGGAGACTTCAATAAAGTAATCTCGAGCTCTGAAAAACATGGAGGAGCAATGAATCCCCATGCTACTAAGAATCTTACTGAATTTATCCAGAGCAATAGCCTGATAGACCTCCCATTATCGGGCACCTCTTTCACTTTGTTGAGATTGAAGCCAGTTCTTGACAAGGTACATTTCATCACTCAAAGAACCATGCCCAGAGGAATATCGGACCACAACCCGATTCTACTAGAAGAGACGAAACCTGTGGGGAGAGCCGGACCATTTAAGTTTTTCTTACACTGGTTGGATGATTATGAAATCTTAGGAAAATCAAGAAACCATATATGCAAATCATGGAGCAGGGATGGTTAAAGACAGTGGGTACTCGAGGTCAAGTCTAAAGAAGAAATACCCATCTGTGAAATTGAAAGAAAAAAAAAGATCTCGGAGCTGGAATCAGAGATTTTGATATCAAATAATCCGGAGACCATGAGAGAAAAGATTCAATTGCTTAAAGATTCAACCTTTACTTTTACAACAAGTTCTGGCCCAATCTCAAAGAAATAAAGAACTTCTTCGATAGCTTTTATCACGGAGAGTTGAAGGATATCTTTTAAAACCACTCTTTTATTGTCCTCATTCTAAAGTTGCCCAATCCGAAAGCATTTGACGACTTCAGACCGATCAGCCTGGTGGGAACCCTTTACAAGATTTTAGCATGAGTTTTATCTAGAAGATTGGCAGGATGCATTGGTGAAATTATTAGTGAAACCCAGTTCACCTTCACTCCTAACGAACAAATAATGGACTGCATCCTGATCGCTAATGAAGAAATAGATTTTGTCCGACAAAGCAAACGGGAAGAAATTGTATTTAAGGCTGACTTCAAGAAGGCATATGACACGGTCGATTGGTCCTTCCTTGATTTGGTTATTCATAAGTGTGGGTTCGGAATCAAATGGGGAAAGTGGGTAAATGTTTGTATATCCACTGCCTCCATCTCTGTACTAGTGAATGGCCAGTCGTCAGATAGATTATTTCTGGGTTGAAATTGAACTTGCGAAAGATTAAGTTCATTGGGGTAAATGTGAAGAAAAACGATCTAGTATCGTGGGCTATAGCAATTATGTGTAGCACCGAGTCCCTTCTAACAAGGTATCTTGGGCTCCCTTTGGGCGAAATTTACAACACCAAATCAATGACAAGTTTCAAGCTAGACTCAACGGTTGGAAAGGTAAATTGTTATCCTTTGGTGTGAAATTCAATGATTGACAAGTTTCAATCATTGATCATGGTAAAAACAATTTTATCCAATTTGCCAGTTTATTATTCTCCCTGTTCCAAATGCCGAAGTCTATTGCAGCTAAGCTTAATAAAATGGTTGCAAACTTTCTTTGGGGCGCATCGTTGAACCGACCCATCCATTGGATGTGGTGGGAAAATCGGACTAAACCGAAAGATTTTAGAGGTTTAGGCTTCTATGATATAAACGCTAGAAACAGGGCGCTACTTGACAAATGGTTATGGAGGTACGACAATGAACAAATCAGTTTGCGGAAAAACCAATTGATGCGAGAATGCATAACGAATCGAAAACTTCCCGACCTCTTTCCAAAGCAAATGATGGGAATATGCGGTTTATTCTTTGGGATGGAAAAAGTATTGAGTTTTGGCTGGATCCGTGGGCGGGAAATACCTTTGAAAGAGAGGTTCGCGAGACTCCATGCGCTAGCGTCGAAAAATGAGGGAAAGGTTTACAATTTTAGCTTCAAAACAAATGGATCAAAGGTTTGGAATATTAAATTGCGAAGGAAACTGTTTGATTGGGACCAATGGTGCAACTTCATAGATGCCATCTACCACGGTGCAAGCAATTCTGTAAGCCAGGATTGCCTAAAATGGGTGGGGAGTTCCTCGGGCACTTATAAACCGAAAGTTTATTACGTACAAATTGCTTGTGGGAATGGCTCTGCTGATTCTGTGTGGAAGCTTGTGTGGACGGGGTTAGCTCTACCAAACGTAGAGTCTTTCGTGTGGAGAGCGGTTCAACATCGCATTCCGGTTCGACAAGAACAGTTGAAGCGGGAAGTGAACAGTCAAAACTTGGGTAAGTGTGCATTGTGTGGAAAATTAGAAGAAACAATTGATCATCTCATGTGTCATTGTGAGGTGTACTACAAAATTTGACACAAGTGGTGTTACACTTGGAACATGAGCCTCGTTGTCTTGGGGACTTCGAAAAACTTATTAACTTTGTGCGAACACTTGCCGCCGAACTCATCGCTAAAACCTTTGTGGAAGCTTGCCTTTTTTGGTATTGTCTAGACCATTTGGTTGGTGCGTAATGAGGTAATTTTTAATAACAAAACCTGCAATGTTAAGAGCCTTTTAGCGTTGTTGCGAATTGCTATATGGGTGAAAAGCAAGCGGCCAGAAGTGGTGCCTTCTATTAACGATTTCATCAGATGTCCCAGGGCAACATCAATGCATTCAAGGCAGTCGACTAGACCAACTATAAGCTCCTAGACTGCCCCAGATCAAGGTAAATTAAAATTCAATGTCGACGCAGCAGTGCAAGGTTATGTGGGTGAAGCCACAATTGGAGGTATTTTTCGGAACCACAATCGAGACTCTTATTCATTTTTCAAGATTCATCGGCCAGTCAGGTGCTATTGGGGTGGAGTTGTCCGCTATACTAGAAGCATGCCAATTATTCAATTCATCAAGATAGATGGAGGGTAACATTCTTAGAATAGAATCAGACTGCTTGGCGGTTGTGGAATGGATTGAGGAGCCGAAAACTGTGCCAATGCCGTTTGCAGACCTAGTAGGCAAATGCAACAAGATCTGTACGAACCATAATTGGAAGGTATGTTTTGTGCACAGGGAAAGTAATTCTGAAGCTCACTAGTTGGCTCAAAAAGGAGTCTGAGGCGATAATCCGTTCTTATGGATGAAAGTTTAAGCATAGTTGCTGGGCTTAATCTGAGTGCAATTGTAAAGCAGGTATGTATGAATTGGTTGTTCTATTATCCTTGGCAGGAAAAGCGAGTAACGCTTCAGCCATGAATGAGAGCTGTTGCTGGTCCATCATTCTCTCACTGATTCTTACTAGAGAATGGCATATGAGCTTATGGTTAACTAAAATGTGTAAGGACTGCCTGTGGTCGAGAGGATTGCTTTAATTCATGGTGTGGTTAGTCTTCAATTTAGTTGGTTCTAAATGTGTAAGTAGTGTGCACTCCCAATTCGCGCTTGGGTGATTCATAACTTTGTCTGAGAAGTGTAGAGAATATTTAAGAAGGGATTTTCTGGTGATGTTATCGTTATGGCTGACCTCTTGGAAAAATCTCTTAAACTTCTGAGCTGGTTCTCTGGTGATGCGATCTCTGTTTGTTTATTGTGCAGCTCGCGTTTGGGTTTCATCTAAGTTCGAGGTCCGGTGCTCCCTTGGTGTTTTCATAGTTTGTTGTGCGTATCAAAATGTTGCAATCGTGCTTTGGATAAGTAGAGACTGAGCGTTTGATGCTTTGAATTGAATTGGTGATCAATGCTTAAGCACGTCTCCTATTGATGCTTTTCCATGGCATAGATATGTGCACTACCAGGATTGCATGAGTTGTAGAAAGTTTGCTTTGTGGTTTGCAACAGATTGAGTTTTCTTAATAATCGTGAGAATGAGCTTTGGCGGTGCTCCACCCTTTCATGTTTTAAGTGGGCATTTGGGTGCAAGTTGTGGTCTACTTCTTTCCTGCTGCAATTGGATTGTATGGTAAGTTCCCAAGGGTTGTTGGATTTTGTATTTGTTGCTGTTTTAGTGTTGGTTTCAGTTAAATCATAGTTGTTTCCGACATCGGCATGACACTCTTTTTCTTCCACTTAGGCTTAGAGAGATTTTTTAACGAGGCTAATACCGATTATCCTGTTTTGTACGCATTTGATTAGTACAATCATTTAAAAACTCTTTTTTAAAAAATGATATGTAGATCTCTGATGAGCAAAAAATGACAATTTAAAAAATAAAAACATGTTTATACAGTTATACTCTATAAATGGAAATCATGAAAAATCGTTCACATTTTCCATAATATTTAAAAATCTTAACAAACCAGATAACATAATATTATATGAAATGTTTGACATAAAATTTAATTTCAAAATTTTCATGAAAACTATAACTTCTAAATCTTAAAAACAAAATAATCTCACATTCTTATTTTCACATCCCATAACTCAAAAACACATATAATTTGAACAAATAAAGCAATCTCAGTTAAAGGGTAAACAAGAATGGCGTCGGCTTCCACAACTCTCCTAAAACCATCGCCGGTCATGAGCAAGTGCGAGCGGATTAAAGGCCAAAGCCTCCGCCAGGTGTCGACGACTTTCGTTAGGTGCCACCCTACATCTCCATCGGCACTTACTGTCCGTGCTAGTTCATACGCTGACGAGCTTGTTAAAACAACCGTATGTATTAGCTTTAGCCTAGTTAGAAGCAAGAAAATAATTGGTCTACTTACGGTTTTAGTCCATTTCCTAAACTTGAATTTGAGACAGTCCACCTGTTTTAATTTACTACAGTTTGATCTAACGTTATTAGGAGGTTTAAATTAATGATATCAGTTGTCGACACCTGAAATTTTATTACAACCATTCAATCACATAATTAGAGTTACGTAAAAATTCAACAAATAATAAATTTACATTTCGAAATAATCACAAATAAAGTTACCCGTTTCCTTCCTTCCCTATATTTGCAATGATCGAAAAAGGAATGAACCTATTACTAACATTTATAAAACTATACGACCAAAGTCTATTCAAAGTAAAGGAATTAAATACAAAATTTTAACATAGTAGAAGGACTATATCCACAATTACACCTTGGTAAAAATAATAAAGTAATGGGATAAACTATAAAGCAACAGTTAGACCTAAATTTGATAATTGTTTTTCAGTTTGGTCCATCAACTTAGATTCTTAGGGCCAGTTTGGCAGGGCTTTTAAAAAGTGTTGTTTAAAAGTGCAGTTTAAAATTTAACTGTTTGAGATTACTGTTAAAAAATGAGTTTGAAAAAATAAAATATCCATTTTAGATTTTATGTTGTAAATTAAAAATATAAAATTTAAATTATATTTACACTTATTAATACTATGCTATACAAAATATATCAACTTAAACTATAATAAAAATATAAAAACTATTTTAAGATAACTCATTAATAATATTTTTATATAAATGAAATATTTTATTAACAAAAAAATATGATCATACTTTTTAACATGTGGATATAAAATTATTACGAAATAATAATTTAAAAACTTTTGTTGATAAAAATAATATAACAAAAAATACATTAGTGGTTACAAATTAAAGTGAATTTTTTAAGGTAATAACTGTGATATCTCTCGTTAATTCCATTTCATAATGAGATGGAGCTTGTCATTATTCCAATTCAACAACAATCACTCATTTAAAATTTAGAATAACATAATTTAAATTATATATTTATCCTTTTAACCATTCAAAATAAAAAATACAAAATTAAAAAATACAAAATAAAAAATATAATTATAATAAAAATATGGGTTAACTACATGGATGGTAATTTATCTTTGTGATTTGTCTACTTTTGGTCACTGATTTCAAAAAACATAATATATGGCCACTTTTGTTTTTATTTAATTAAGATATGGTTACTTTCGTTTTATTTAATTAAGATGTGGTCACCTCGAGTTAACTGTCGTTAAGAGCAGTTTAATATTTTTGATATAATCACACATTTGGTCCATGTTATTACATATTCTCTCAATTTAGTCATACTTTTAATAAATTAAAATAAATTTAATCCTCCAATCGAACGACGCCACATGTCATGCCAGTAAGGTTGTTCAAAAATATCAGACCCGATTGAGCTGACCCGTCGACCCACTAACCTAGTTAAAAATATCGTGTATTTATAATAAAAATACTCAATTTTTTGGGTCAGGTGCCCTACCGGGTTTCTGGGTCGAGCATGGGTCACAAAATGTTGGTTAACTGGGTACCCTCCAACTCGGTACCTAATTTATTATATATTTTTTATTTTTTATTTTTATTTTATATATTAAATTTTTATTCCTAAACCTCAAATTATTTCACTCTAACATTCTAAAATTCTAATTTCTCAAATTTTGACACCATAACTTTCTAAATCCTTAAATTATTTTAGTTCTAAATTATTTTTAAAAATATTTATTTTAACTTCAAAATATTTGAAATGTAATTATATTTCTTTATTTAATTTTAAATTTTATTTCAATTATGTAATTTGAATTTTTAAACTTTATGTGTGGATTATATATATTATAGACTTTTAAATTTTAGTTTTTTAATTTTTTTTTAAAATAATAAATTTAAAGAAAATAAAAAATTATGAACCGGATACTCTTGACCCGAATTATATATAATATAATTTTATATATATTAACTTAAAATGTTTTTACATTAACTTATTAAATATATTTTACTATTAACTTAATTTAAAATATTTTATTTTTTATTTTCATTTAAAAATATATAATTTATATTAATTTATTAAAGGTGTGACTAAATTAAGAGAAAATGTAACTAAATTTGACCAAATGTATGAATATATAAAATATTTAACGGCAATTAGCTAGGGGTGACCAAATCTTGTTTAAAAAAATGTGACCATATTTTATATATTTCGAAATCAATGACCAAAAGTGGACAAAACTCAAAGATAAGTGATCAACCATGTAGTTAACCTTAAAAATATATTTTATAATAATTCACTATTAATATTTTAATATATAAACGATGAACGTTATTTACTTTTAAGTAATTAAAATAAATTAGTCGCTCACCCTTTCCTTAGCCGCTCTCTCCCTCCTTTGTCTTCATTTTTTTTCTTTGAGTTTGTATCGTTTTTTATAGATTATATCAATTTTTTCTTCTTTATTTTTTAGCCGCCGGCGACACCGACTTTGATGATGGTTGCCGACCATCGGTTCTCTTTTCTTTTTATTTTTTCTTTTGTTTTTTTAATAAAAGTAATTATGTATGTGTTGCACGTTTATCTATGCATGTGTTGCACATTTATCTCTGCCTTTGCGGCATGTTTTTCATTTTTTTCGTTCGTTTGTCACTTCTTTTATTTATATTTTCTCAGGGTTGGATTTGA